CTGCTTTGCGTGCCCGAGGATGTCGCGCGGCTCACTGCCCCGACAGAGCCTGCGGCAGGGAAGGAGAAGGAGAAGGGGGCCGAGTCGGGTGCTGCCGAGCCGTGTTTCATGCAGGAATGGGGCAGTGGGGAAGGATGTGGAGGGGGGGAGGGAGAGAGAGGCCAGGGGAGAGATCCACATGCCGGAGCTGGGGTCCAGCCTGTCAGACCCGCCCTTGCCGACGCCCTCCGGTCCCGGGCCTGAATGGCCCATTTCCCACGCGGTTTGCCAGTCCCCAAGCCATCCACTCCCGCGTCTGCTGCTTGCAAGCAGGCCCCCTCCCCCCCGGGAGGGGGGGGGGGGGGGGAGGCGCCGCCGACGCGAGTGCATGTGCCCTGTGGCGTCCCTGCCTCTGCGGCTTTCTCGCACCAGCGGGAACATGGCACAGGCGGACACGCACAAGCACAAACACAGACACACGCACACACCCACTCACCCCCACCCCCCCCCACACACACATACAGGCCGTGCTGTTCCCCGAATCGAGGAGCCCGAGGCCCCATCTTCCTCGACCCAATCGGGAGAGGGCAGACAGGGGCAGGAGGGCAGCAGGAGGGGCAGAACAGCACAGCCGCGAGACCGAGTGGCCGGCCGACCCGCAGGAGGGCCGCTAGACCAGCATCCAGCCGTCCACCTCGCTCATAGGCTCCGAGTGGTGGGGCAGGATGCCGCCGCCGGCGTTGATCAGGTCGCTGGTCGCCTCGTCAACGGGCTTCGACACCAGGAGATACTCGCCGGAGCAGGAGGACCCCAAGGGCGAGGGGGGCGCCGTGGCGCGGGCCGGGGCCCCGGCCGTGGCCAAGCCCGGCACAGGCGATGCCACCAGTGCCAGCGTCGAGGCCGAGGAGGAGACCACCGGGCCACTCGTGGCCGCCGGCCCGGCCGGAGACTCTTCCGGGCCACCGACCACCGGCAGGGCGGCCGTGGCCGGGCGCACGATCACCGGCATCCAGCAAATCAGCGGGTAAAGACTGTTGCCGGCCTCGGGCCGGCCATATGCATCCGGGGGGTGGAGCTTCTGCGGGTTCTTGGCAAAGGCCTTGCCGGTGGCCCAGCGCGTCATGCAGTGATAGAAGTCCTGCTCGGCCGGCCGGAGGTTGGTCATGATGTCCATCGTTTGGAAGGCGGGCACGGTGGACTGCTGGCTCTCGGCAAAGCGCGTGATCCGCCGCCGGTTGAGGACCATCCCGCCGAGGGACAGAAACCCGGGGGGGGTGTACGTGCGAAGCATCTGCCGGAAGTCCTCATCCGGTGCCGGCCGACCGGCCGGCGACCAAGGCCCCGACTCCGGCTCACTGGGGTCCTGGTCACCGGGGGCCGAGCTGGCGAGGGCGCCGTCAGCCAGGCCGCCGGCCATCGCCAGAGGGTCCGACGAGTCGGAGCCGGCGTCGGTGGCGACGCCGGCCTTCGCGGCGGCCGGCACCCCCGGCAGCATGGCCAGCACCTCCCCCGGCAGGGGGAACTCCTTGAGGTAGAAATAGCCGCGGGCCGCGCCGCCGGCCGGGGCGAACTCCGCCAGGCTGGTCTGCTCCAGGGCCCGGGCCAGGGCATGGAGAAGCCGCTGGCAAAGGGCCAGCTTGATGGCCGGATCGCCGGGAGGGCAGATCCCCGGGGCCCCCACCCCGGGGAAGTACTCCAGCGGCTGGGTAAACAGCTGCTCCAAGCGAGGGCGAATGTCGGCCCACGCGCGCCGACGGAAGGCCGTCCACACCTGGGCATGATCGGCCTCGAAGGTGGGAGCACCGTCGGCCTCCAGCGAAGACCCCTCCGGGCGGTGGTGCACCAGGCGCACGGATCCACTCAGCCGACGCCCGGGAGCCGGGGCCTGGGCCAGCACATGCAGGAAGGACCCCCGCAGGAGGTGCACCAGCCGCGGGTGGTCCAGCAGGTAGGATGGATTCGGCCGGCGGAAGGCCGGGTGAACGACCACCTCCAGGACATTTTGCGCCACGGCAAAGCGCAGCAGCACCGCCTCCAGGACCTGGTACAGCTTGCTCACTCGATCGCCCAGGAGCTTCCAGCCGGTCAGGGCGAAGTCCGCCGGCAGGGCCATGCTGGTGAGCAATCGACACAGGTAGTCCACCTCGAAGACAGCACGCTCGCGCGGCCACAGCCCCCCGGGCAGGGGCTGCGGCAGGATCTCCGCCTGCGGGGCCGGCACCAGCCGGGCGAAGTCCTCGGCGCCGAAGCACCCGCGGAGCTCCGCCAGCAGGGTCCCCTGCACCAGACGCGACCAGGCACGCGAGGACCACCACAAGCAGGAGGTGGTCGGCGGCAGCTCGGGTGCCGGGGCGCCGGTCGGAGCACCGGCCCCCCCGTCGGCCGGCCAGAAGGACGGCGAGAGGAGCAGCAGTCGCAGCAGACTCAGCTCATCGGCGTTGGCCTGCTGGCTGGCGAAGCTGGTCACCCCGAAGAGGGCAGACTCGGCCACCTTGTCCAGGATGCGTGTGCTAAGGGGGATCTGGTTGAGAAAGGCCCCGAGCCGGGCGAGACTGGCCAGGCCGCCGGTGTCCGGGGCGTCGGCCTGCGACCCGGGGTGGGGACCCCCGGCGGGGGCCAACTGCCCGAGGGCCAGCCGCAGGTCCCGCTCATCGACGGCCGCCAGCCGGGCATAATGCTCTCGGAATTGGTCCATACTCTGGCTGAAGGAGGGGGCCCCGGTCGTGGGCCCGCCTACGCGCAGGCGAGGAGAGGGGGGGGGGGGAGGGGGGGCATGGCAGAGAAGGACGGGCCGTGCGAGCAGCGGGTGAGCGATGGCTCATGGCGTGGCTGGCTGCCCGAGTCACAGGCAAGAGGGGCGGGGCAAGGGGGCGAAGAGGAGGTGGCACGTACCGGGGGCCCGGAACCGAGTAGCATGGTGAAAGAAAGCGCTGTGCCAGTAGAAGCAGGGGGTGGCCGACTGGGGATTGTCTGCTCCCCGGAGGCGGGATCGGGGGGGAGGGGCGGCGAAGCACATGGGATCATGGAGGAAGAGGGCGTGTGGGGGGTGAGAAGATGATGGAGAGGGGGAAAAATCCCCCGGCGGGGATGGGCCATCGGGGATGCGCAATGGCGTGAAAGACACGGGCAGGCATACCCATGATGATGATTTCGCTGAGTTGGGGGAGGGCGCCAGCGGTGAGGAGCTTCTGCAGATGCTTGCGATCCATGGTGGCTCCGGTGAAGGAGAGGTCCAGCAGCGTGAGGGACTTGTGTTCGGCAAGGCGCACGGGGCCGCCTGCGAGCGGGACACCGGTGAAGATGGCATCGTGCACATCGGCGAACCAGGGCCGGAAGAGGAGCCCGATGTTTTTCTCATGGATGTATGCAACTGTGCCAGGGGGGGGGGGGGGCGGAAGGCGTCGGGCAGGCTGGGTGAGGAAGGGGGGGGGGGGGGGGGGGAAAAAGGGGGGGTAAGGGGGGGGGGGGGGGGGGGGGGATTTTTTCGGGGGGGGGGGGGGGGAGGGGGGCAAAAAGTGGGGGATTACGAGACGGATGTCGATGGTGGGACTTTTCTCGACGGCGTTGCGATGCGTACGGGAGAAATCCATGCGAATGACCTGGGTGCGCTTTTTCGGGAGCTTGGTCGTCTTGATCGTACAACCTATCACCAGGGCAGGCCCGGTGAAGGAGGGAAGGGGCACAGGGAGCGAAGAAAAAGAGGCAGAGAGAGAGAGAGAGAGCCAGCCGGGGTGAGTGCACAGGAAGGTGGCGGGTTTTTCGGGCGAGATTCCGGCGGAGGAAGGCGATCGAGACGCGGAAACCGGTTGGGTAGGTGGCACGAAATGGTGCACATATGGTGGCAGCAGGAACAGCAGAAAAAATATATATATGTGTGTGTGTGTGTGCAAGAGAGAGAGGTGCGTTTCTGCACGCCAAGTGCACTCGCGTCGGGCAACACACGCACCGACCGGCTGGAACTGGTTGATGGATGGCTGGTAGTGCTGCCACTCCAGGGGGGCGTCATCGGGGACGGGGTCCTCATCATCGCGGATGCCAGCGATTGCCAGGCGGTCGATGAACGAGGCTGAGTTCCGCGGTGCGACCATGAAGGGGCATCGACATGTCAGCAGTCGGAACGTAGACAGGGAGGCGATGACGAGCGAGGTAGGAGAGCAGGTCCCGGAGGCAGGGGGCAGGCCTCCGGGCACGCGGCGCACCCAGGGTCTGCTCCTCCAGGACGGCGGAGTGCTTCTTCCGGTAGTCATCCAGCGCCTTGGACACTGGCTGGTCCATGGTTAGGTGGATGGCGTGTGGTCGCGAGCGCAG